GAAGTGCAGCAGCTCTCCCAGGGCACATGGGTGACAGCCATGGGCCAACTGGAATGCCCTCAGAAAGAAGCTGCAAGGGCCTGTGTGTGCCCTCAGACGTGCTTGGACCCTGGTGCATCCTCTCCTGCTCCACGGTTGTGTGTCGTTGAGGCTGTGTGAGCACTCTGCTAGAAATCCATTTTTGTGGCCCATGGGCCTCTGGATCCTGGCACATTTTCTGGTGCGTGAGTTGACATGCGGGGGCCTCTGTGGTCGGGAGGTACAGGGGAGGCAGGAGTAGGTTTCTGATCCTGGTCCAGAACATGGTAGTGGAGGGGAGGGGGTGTTCCTGGGCGGGAGGGGAGTGAGCCCAATGACAAGCAACAGCCCAGGACCCAGAACACCCTGGCTGGCCAGGGCCTGCAGTTGTCTCATAGCCTCTGCCTTCTGAGCTCCTCAGGAAGTCACCGAGCCACATGGCAGCTGCAGATGGCTTGGTTTCTCTTGCGAGGCTCAGGGTTATGGGGCAGGTTTGTTCCGTGGCCATGTTGGCCTTCTTGGTGCATCCTAGCATTGCTCTTGTGCCCAGGAAGAATGGCATTTTGACGGTCCTGTTCCCAGAAGCATGGGATTGAGGGGCCCACTTTGGTCAGGTTTCAGCTGCTAGGAAGCTTCTTAGGACACAGTCTCCAAGGCCCTGGCAATTCAGTGGATCTCGTGGGGTGTGTCTGAAACCAGCAAGGGTTATGTGTGCTTGTGCCCCGAAATGCCACCCAGGAGCCGATTTGGGGAAGGAGTCTGTGCGGCTCCCACATGACTCCGTGTATGCGTCGGATCCCATCCTGTGTGCCTGGTTTTGAGCTTCTCCCTGTGCTGAGATGAGCTTCCGAGAAGACTCGGAAGCATTGTGGGTGTCTGAGATGGGCAGGGCAAGTCTCCCCTGTTGCTTGTGATTGTGAGACGAGTCCATCTCCTGCAGCATGACCAGACAGTTTGGGCTTGTGTGCTTTCGCGTGTTGATCCCTGTTTGTGAATGTGAGCCCATGCTGACCAGTGGGGCTGGATCACATCCTACCCGCTGGGGGTGAATGGGGCTAGGTTGCACCTGCAAAGGGGCCCACCTGCATCAGGGCTCATCTCTCTCCTGAGGGACTGGAGGGAGCGGTGAGCACAGCCAGCTGGCTGCTTCTCCTTGGCACAACCCCATGCCTTGAAACAGCCACTGCAGACCAAGTTCCCTGAGCCTGCCCACCCTTCCTCAGCAGCTCAGATGGCTCACAGCTGCCCAGAACAGAGGCACTTTCTGCCTGCAGGTTTGTCCCTGTGTCCTGGAGAGCAAGGCAGGGGACATCTGGTATCCTCCTGGGTGTCCACAGCCACAAACAACGGTGGCACTCCTTTACTGAGGAAAGTGAGAGCGAGCACGAGAGAGCTGTGGCCTGAATCCTGATGGCTTCCTTAGGAGACCATTCATGTCTCTGAAAGTTCCTTTGTGTCTACAAGACTTGTCCAATGTAGAGTGTATTCTGAATACCACCTTCCTGGCCCACATCTGGAGCCCTTCATGGCCTAGTGCTTCTCGAGTGCCTTTTGCAATGGGAGCTGCACACAAGCCAGAGCCAGGGACAGGAAGCAAGCTTGCACAGTGGGCAGACATGAAGCCATAGTGTGGTTCAGAGGCTGAAGCGATCTTGCCACCCATCACTCCTCACTCCTGGTTTGATTCTGCCTCAAGGTCTCCTTCTGGTGCCTCAGGGAGAACAGGGGTTCCACAGGAGCTGAGAGTGATGCCTGGGTGGACATCAGGCTGGTTCCTGCTTTCTGATGTGACTGGGAGACTGTTGTGTGTGCCTCTACTGAGATGAATTTGCTTTGTTCTTCCACAGAACCGAGCTTGCAGAGTCCCGGACCTGCTGCCGAACCACAGTCAGGTATGGAGAAGGAGCTATGCTAGGTCCTGGGAGTCGATGGGAACATGAGCTTGGTACAAGCCCATATGGCTTCTGTCCTCGGTGCTCTGAGTTTCAGCAGGGTGGCAAGGGTGTGGTGACTTAGCATCTGTCTCATGGTCTGTCCCATCTGGAGACACAGCTACGTCATGTGAGACGTGACACCGAGTTGTCCTTAGCATCTTGAGATGGTCCGTGGCTCCATCTGCATGTCCCCACGCTCCTTTGCTAGTGTGCCATGCCAGGGAATTTCCAGTGGGACATGCTTCACAGCCCTCCTGCATGTCCACTTAGGAGATGGTGGGAGTAGGGGGTAAGAGACTGTGTGTGGCTGTGTCCAGATGTCAAGCGGGGCTGTGTTATGCAAATGCACTCAGGTGCCTTCTTGTTTTGCTTTTTCCTTAAACTTGGCCGGCCACACTGAACTTGATTTTTACATGGATGCAGGTATGGACAAAGAGCTCGGGCTCCTCGCACAATGTGATGCCAAGCCCATGTTTGAGGGGCACTTATGTCATCCTTCCTCTGTGACTGAGACACGGAAGGGTGCCTGTCAGCCACCTGTCTGAGAAGTAGCTTTCATGTTCACTATCGTTGTGTGACGTGGCCTGGAAAGGCTCTTTCTCCTGATAAATGGGCTGAGTTCCATCAGTGCTTTGGGGAAGTGCAGCAGCTCTCCCAGGGCACATGGGTGACAGCCATGGGCCAACTGGAATGCCCTCAGAAAGAAGCTGCAAGGGCCTGTGTGTGCCCTCAGACGTGCTTGGACCCTGGTGCATCCTCTCCTGCTCCACGGTTGTGTGTCGTTGAGGCTGTGTGAGCACTCTGCTAGAAATCCATTTTTGTGGCCCATGGGCCTCTGGATCCTGGCACATTTTCTGGTGCGTGAGTTGACATGCGGGGGCCTCTGTGGTCGGGAGGTACAGGGGAGGCAGGAGTAGGTTTCTGATCCTGGTCCAGAACATGGTAGTGGAGGGGAGGGGGTGTTCCTGGGCGGGAGGGGAGTGAGCCCAATGACAAGCAACAGCCCAGGACCCAGAACACCCTGGCTGGCCAGGGCCTGCAGTTGTCTCATAGCCTCTGCCTTCTGAGCTCCTCAGGAAGTCACCGAGCCACATGGCAGCTGCAGATGGCTTGGTTTCTCTTGCGAGGCTCAGGGTTATGGGGCAGGTTTGTTCCGTGGCCATGTTGGCCTTCTTGGTGCATCCTAGCATTGCTCTTGTGCCCAGGAAGAATGGCATTTTGACGGTCCTGTTCCCAGAAGCATGGGATTGAGGGGCCCACTTTGGTCAGGTTTCAGCTGCTAGGAAGCTTCTTAGGACACAGTCTCCAAGGCCCTGGCAATTCAGTGGATCTCGTGGGGTGTGTCTGAAACCAGCAAGGGTTATGTGTGCTTGTGCCCCGAAATGCCACCCAGGAGCCGATTTGGGGAAGGAGTCTGTGCGGCTCCCACATGACTCCGTGTATGCGTCGGATCCCATCCTGTGTGCCTGGTTTTGAGCTTCTCCCTGTGCTGAGATGAGCTTCCGAGAAGACTCGGAAGCATTGTGGGTGTCTGAGATGGGCAGGGCAAGTCTCCCCTGTTGCTTGTGATTGTGAGACGAGTCCATCTCCTGCAGCATGACCAGACAGTTTGGGCTTGTGTGCTTTCGCGTGTTGATCCCTGTTTGTGAATGTGAGCCCATGCTGACCAGTGGGGCTGGATCACATCCTACCCGCTGGGGGTGAATGGGGCTAGGTTGCACCTGCAAAGGGGCCCACCTGCATCAGGGCTCATCTCTCTCCTGAGGGACTGGAGGGAGCGGTGAGCACAGCCAGCTGGCTGCTTCTCCTTGGCACAACCCCATGCCTTGAAACAGCCACTGCAGACCAAGTTCCCTGAGCCTGCCCACCCTTCCTCAGCAGCTCAGATGGCTCACAGCTGCCCAGAACAGAGGCACTTTCTGCCTGCAGGTTTGTCCCTGTGTCCTGGAGAGCAAGGCAGGGGACATCTGGTATTCTCCTGGGTGTCCACAGCCACAAACAACGGTGGCACTCCTTTACTGAGGAAAGTGAGAGCGAGCACGAGAGAGCTGTGGCCTGAATCCTGATGGCTTCCTTAGGAGACCATTCATGTCTCTGAAAGTTCCTTTGTGTCTACAAGACTTGTCCAATGTAGAGTGTATTCTGAATACCACCTTCCTGGCCCACATCTGGAGCCCTTCATGGCCTAGTGCTTCTCGAGTGCCTTTTGCAATGGGAGCTGCACACAAGCCAGAGCCAGGGACAGGAAGCAAGCTTGCACAGTGGGCAGACATGAAGCCATAGTGTGGTTCAGAGGCTGAAGCGATCTTGCCACCCATCACTCCTCACTCCTGGTTTGATTCTGCCTCAAGGTCTCCTTCTGGTGCCTCAGGGAGAACAGGGGTTCCACAGGAGCTGAGAGTGATGCCTGGGTGGACATCAGGCTGGTTCCTGCTTTCTGATGTGACTGGGAGACTGTTGTGTGTGCCTCTACTGAGATGAATTTGCTTTGTTCTTCCACAGAACCGAGCTTGCAGAGTCCCGGACCTGCTGCCGAACCACAGTCAGGTATGGAGAAGGAGCTATGCTAGGTCCTGGGAGTCGATGGGAACATGAGCTTGGTACAAGCCCATATGGCTTCTGTCCTCGGTGCTCTGAGTTTCAGCAGGGTGGCAAGGGTGTGGTGACTTAGCATCTGTCTCATGGTCTGTCCCATCTGGAGACACAGCTACGTCATGTGAGACGTGACACCGAGTTGTCCTTAGCATCTTGAGATGGTCCGTGGCTCCATCTGCATGTCCCCACGCTCCTTTGCTAGTGTGCCATGCCAGGGAATTTCCAGTGGGACATGCTTCACAGCCCTCCTGCATGTCCACTTAGGAGATGGTGGGAGTAGGGGGTAAGAGACTGTGTGTGGCTGTGTCCAGATGTCAAGCGGGGCTGTGTTATGCAAATGCACTCAGGTGCCTTCTTGTTTTGCTTTTTCCTTAAACTTGGCCGGCCACACTGAACTTGATTTTTACATGGATGCAGGTATGGACAAAGAGCTCGGGCTCCTCGCACAATGTGATGCCAAGCCCATGTTTGAGGGGCACTTATGTCATCCTTCCTCTGTGACTGAGACACGGAAGGGTGCCTGTCAGCCACCTGTCTGAGAAGTAGCTTTCATGTTCACTATCGTTGTGTGACGTGGCCTGGAAAGGCTCTTTCTCCTGATAAATGGGCTGAGTTCCATCAGTGCTTTGGGGAAGTGCAGCAGCTCTCCCAGGGCACATGGGTGACAGCCATGGGCCAACTGGAATGCCCTCAGAAAGAAGCTGCAAGGGCCTGTGTGTGCCCTCAGACGTGCTTGGACCCTGGTGCATCCTCTCCTGCTCCACGGTTGTGTGTCGTTGAGGCTGTGTGAGCACTCTGCTAGAAATCCATTTTTGTGGCCCATGGGCCTCTGGATCCTGGCACATTTTCTGGTGCGTGAGTTGACATGCGGGGGCCTCTGTGGTCGGGAGGTACAGGGGAGGCAGGAGTAGGTTTCTGATCCTGGTCCAGAACATGGTAGTGGAGGGGAGGGGGTGTTCCTGGGAGGGAGGGGAGTGAGCCCAATGACAAGCAACAGCCCAGGACCCAGAACACCCTGGCTGGCCAGGGCCTGCAGTTGTCTCATAGCCTCTGCCTTCTGAGCTCCTCAGGAAGTCACCGAGCCACATGGCAGCTGCAGATGGCTTGGTTTCTCTTGCGAGGCTCAGGGTTATGGGGCAGGTTTGTTCCGTGGCCATGTTGGCCTTCTTGGTGCATCCTAGCATTGCTCTTGTGCCCAGGAAGAATGGCATTTTGACGGTCCTGTTCCCAGAAGCATGGGATTGAGGGGCCCACTTTGGTCAGGTTTCAGCTGCTAGGAAGCTTCTTAGGACACAGTCTCCAAGGCCCTGGCAATTCAGTGGATCTCGTGGGGTGTGTCTGAAACCAGCAAGGGTTATGTGTGCTTGTGCCCCGAAATGCCACCCAGGAGCCGATTTGGGGAAGGAGTCTGTGCGGCTCCCACATGACTCCGTGTATGCGTCGGATCCCATCCTGTGTGCCTGGTTTTGAGCTTCTCCCTGTGCTGAGATGAGCTTCCGAGAAGACTCGGAAGCATTGTGGGTGTCTGAGATGGGCAGGGCAAGTCTCCCCTGTTGCTTGTGATTGTGAGACGAGTCCATCTCCTGCAGCATGACCAGACAGTTTGGGCTTGTGTGCTTTCGCGTGTTGATCCCTGTTTGTGAATGTGAGCCCATGCTGACCAGTGGGGCTGGATCACATCCTACCCGCTGGGGGTGAATGGGGCTAGGTTGCACCTGCAAAGGGGCCCACCTGCATCAGGGCTCATCTCTCTCCTGAGGGACTGGAGGGAGCGGTGAGCACAGCCAGCTGGCTGCTTCTCCTTGGCACAACCCCATGCCTTGAAACAGCCACTGCAGACCAAGTTCCCTGAGCCTGCCCACCCTTCCTCAGCAGCTCAGATGGCTCACAGCTGCCCAGAACAGAGGCACTTTCTGCCTGCAGGTTTGTCCCTGTGTCCTGGAGAGCAAGGCAGGGGACATCTGGTATCCTCCTGGGTGTCCACAGCCACAAACAACGGTGGCACTCCTTTACTGAGGAAAGTGAGAGCGAGCACGAGAGAGCTGTGGCCTGAATCCTGATGGCTTCCTTAGGAGACCATTCATGTCTCTGAAAGTTCCTTTGTGTCTACAAGACTTGTCCAATGTAGAGTGTATTCTGAATACCACCTTCCTGGCCCACATCTGGAGCCCTTCATGGCCTAGTGCTTCTCGAGTGCCTTTTGCAATGGGAGCTGCACACAAGCCAGAGCCAGGGACAGGAAGCAAGCTTGCACAGTGGGCAGACATGAAGCCATAGTGTGGTTCAGAGGCTGAAGCGATCTTGCCACCCATCACTCCTCACTCCTGGTTTGATTCTGCCTCAAGGTCTCCTTCTGGTGCCTCAGGGAGAACAGGGGTTCCACAGGAGCTGAGAGTGATGCCTGGGTGGACATCAGGCTGGTTCCTGCTTTCTGATGTGACTGGGAGACTGTTGTGTGTGCCTCTACTGAGATGAATTTGCTTTGTTCTTCCACAGAACCGAGCTTGCAGAGTCCCGGACCTGCTGCCGAACCACAGTCAGGTATGGAGAAGGAGCTATGCTAGGTCCTGGGAGTCGATGGGAACATGAGCTTGGTACAAGCCCATATGGCTTCTGTCCTCGGTGCTCTGAGTTTCAGCAGGGTGGCAAGGGTGTGGTGACTTAGCATCTGTCTCATGGTCTGTCCCATCTGGAGACACAGCTACGTCATGTGAGACGTGACACCGAGTTGTCCTTAGCATCTTGAGATGGTCCGTGGCTCCATCTGCATGTCCCCACGCTCCTTTGCTAGTGTGCCATGCCAGGGAATTTCCAGTGGGACATGCTTCACAGCCCTCCTGCATGTCCACTTAGGAGATGGTGGGAGTAGGGGGTAAGAGACTGTGTGTGGCTGTGTCCAGATGTCAAGCGGGGCTGTGTTATGCAAATGCACTCAGGTGCCTTCTTGTTTTGCTTTTTCCTTAAACTTGGCCGGCCACACTGAACTTGATTTTTACATGGATGCAGGTATGGACAAAGAGCTCGGGCTCCTCGCACAATGTGATGCCAAGCCCATGTTTGAGGGGCACTTATGTCATCCTTCCTCTGTGACTGAGACACGGAAGGGTGCCTGTCAGCCACCTGTCTGAGAAGTAGCTTTCATGTTCACTATCGTTGTGTGACGTGGCCTGGAAAGGCTCTTTCTCCTGATAAATGGGCTGAGTTCCATCAGTGCTTTGGGGAAGTGCAGCAGCTCTCCCAGGGCACATGGGTGACAGCCATGGGCCAACTGGAATGCCCTCAGAAAGAAGCTGCAAGGGCCTGTGTGTGCCCTCAGACGTGCTTGGACCCTGGTGCATCCTCTCCTGCTCCACGGTTGTGTGTCGTTGAGGCTGTGTGAGCACTCTGCTAGAAATCCATTTTTGTGGCCCATGGGCCTCTGGATCCTGGCACATTTTCTGGTGCGTGAGTTGACATGCGGGGGCCTCTGTGGTCGGGAGGTACAGGGGAGGCAGGAGTAGGTTTCTGATCCTGGTCCAGAACATGGTAGTGGAGGGGAGGGGGTGTTCCTGGGCGGGAGGGGAGTGAGCCCAATGACAAGCAACAGCCCAGGACCCAGAACACCCTGGCTGGCCAGGGCCTGCAGTTGTCTCATAGCCTCTGCCTTCTGAGCTCCTCAGGAAGTCACCGAGCCACATGGCAGCTGCAGATGGCTTGGTTTCTCTTGCGAGGCTCAGGGTTATGGGGCAGGTTTGTTCCGTGGCCATGTTGGCCTTCTTGGTGCATCCTAGCATTGCTCTTGTGCCCAGGAAGAATGGCATTTTGACGGTCCTGTTCCCAGAAGCATGGGATTGAGGGGCCCACTTTGGTCAGGTTTCAGCTGCTAGGAAGCTTCTTAGGACACAGTCTCCAAGGCCCTGGCAATTCAGTGGATCTCGTGGGGTGTGTCTGAAACCAGCAAGGGTTATGTGTGCTTGTGCCCCGAAATGCCACCCAGGAGCCGATTTGGGGAAGGAGTCTGTGCGGCTCCCACATGACTCCGTGTATGCGTCGGATCCCATCCTGTGTGCCTGGTTTTGAGCTTCTCCCTGTGCTGAGATGAGCTTCCGAGAAGACTCGGAAGCATTGTGGGTGTCTGAGATGGGCAGGGCAAGTCTCCCCTGTTGCTTGTGATTGTGAGACGAGTCCATCTCCTGCAGCATGACCAGACAGTTTGGGCTTGTGTGCTTTCGCGTGTTGATCCCTGTTTGTGAATGTGAGCCCATGCTGACCAGTGGGGCTGGATCACATCCTACCCGCTGGGGGTGAATGGGGCTAGGTTGCACCTGCAAAGGGGCCCACCTGCATCAGGGCTCATCTCTCTCCTGAGGGACTGGAGGGAGCGGTGAGCACAGCCAGCTGGCTGCTTCTCCTTGGCACAACCCCATGCCTTGAAACAGCCACTGCAGACCAAGTTCCCTGAGCCTGCCCACCCTTCCTCAGCAGCTCAGATGGCTCACAGCTGCCCAGAACAGAGGCACTTTCTGCCTGCAGGTTTGTCCCTGTGTCCTGGAGAGCAAGGCAGGGGACATCTGGTATTCTCCTGGGTGTCCACAGCCACAAACAACGGTGGCACTCCTTTACTGAGGAAAGTGAGAGCGAGCACGAGAGAGCTGTGGCCTGAATCCTGATGGCTTCCTTAGGAGACCATTCATGTCTCTGAAAGTTCCTTTGTGTCTACAAGACTTGTCCAATGTAGAGTGTATTCTGAATACCACCTTCCTGGCCCACATCTGGAGCCCTTCATGGCCTAGTGCTTCTCGAGTGCCTTTTGCAATGGGAGCTGCACACAAGCCAGAGCCAGGGACAGGAAGCAAGCTTGCACAGTGGGCAGACATGAAGCCATAGTGTGGTTCAGAGGCTGAAGCGATCTTGCCACCCATCACTCCTCACTCCTGGTTTGATTCTGCCTCAAGGTCTCCTTCTGGTGCCTCAGGGAGAACAGGGGTTCCACAGGAGCTGAGAGTGATGCCTGGGTGGACATCAGGCTGGTTCCTGCTTTCTGATGTGACTGGGAGACTGTTGTGTGTGCCTCTACTGAGATGAATTTGCTTTGTTCTTCCACAGAACCGAGCTTGCAGAGTCCCGGACCTGCTGCCGAACCACAGTCAGGTATGGAGAAGGAGCTATGCTAGGTCCTGGGAGTCGATGGGAACATGAGCTTGGTACAAGCCCATATGGCTTCTGTCCTCGGTGCTCTGAGTTTCAGCAGGGTGGCAAGGGTGTGGTGACTTAGCATCTGTCTCATGGTCTGTCCCATCTGGAGACACAGCTACGTCATGTGAGACGTGACACCGAGTTGTCCTTAGCATCTTGAGATGGTCCGTGGCTCCATCTGCATGTCCCCACGCTCCTTTGCTAGTGTGCCATGCCAGGGAATTTCCAGTGGGACATGCTTCACAGCCCTCCTGCATGTCCACTTAGGAGATGGTGGGAGTAGGGGGTAAGAGACTGTGTGTGGCTGTGTCCAGATGTCAAGCGGGGCTGTGTTATGCAAATGCACTCAGGTGCCTTCTTGTTTTGCTTTTTCCTTAAACTTGGCCGGCCACACTGAACTTGATTTTTACATGGATGCAGGTATGGACAAAGAGCTCGGGCTCCTCGCACAATGTGATGCCAAGCCCATGTTTGAGGGGCACTTATGTCATCCTTCCTCTGTGACTGAGACACGGAAGGGTGCCTGTCAGCCACCTGTCTGAGAAGTAGCTTTCATGTTCACTATCGTTGTGTGACGTGGCCTGGAAAGGCTCTTTCTCCTGATAAATGGGCTGAGTTCCATCAGTGCTTTGGGGAAGTGCAGCAGCTCTCCCAGGGCACATGGGTGACAGCCATGGGCCAACTGGAATGCCCTCAGAAAGAAGCTGCAAGGGCCTGTGTGTGCCCTCAGACGTGCTTGGACCCTGGTGCATCCTCTCCTGCTCCACGGTTGTGTGTCGTTGAGGCTGTGTGAGCACTCTGCTAGAAATCCATTTTTGTGGCTCATGGGCCTCTGGATCCTGGCACATTTTCTGGTGCGTGAGTTGACATGCGGGGGCCTCTGTGGTCGGGAGGTACAGGGGAGGCAGGAGTAGGTTTCTGATCCTGGTCCAGAACATGGTAGTGGAGGGGAGGGGGTGTTCCTGGGCGGGAGGGGAGTGAGCCCAATGACAAGCAACAGCCCAGGACCCAGAACACCCTGGCTGGCCAGGGCCTGCAGTTGTCTCATAGCCTCTGCCTTCTGAGCTCCTCAGGAAGTCACCGAGCCACATGGCAGCTGCAGATGGCTTGGTTTCTCTTGCGAGGCTCAGGGTTATGGGGCAGGTTTGTTCCGTGGCCATGTTGGCCTTCTTGGTGCATCCTAGCATTGCTCTTGTGCCCAGGAAGAATGGCATTTTGACGGTCCTGTTCCCAGAAGCATGGGATTGAGGGGCCCACTTTGGTCAGGTTTCAGCTGCTAGGAAGCTTCTTAGGACACAGTCTCCAAGGCCCTGGCAATTCAGTGGATCTCGTGGGGTGTGTCTGAAACCAGCAAGGGTTATGTGTGCTTGTGCCCCGAAATGCCACCCAGGAGCCGATTTGGGGAAGGAGTCTGTGCGGCTCCCACATGACTCCGTGTATGCGTCGGATCCCATCCTGTGTGCCTGGTTTTGAGCTTCTCCCTGTGCTGAGATGAGCTTCCGAGAAGACTCGGAAGCATTGTGGGTGTCTGAGATGGGCAGGGCAAGTCTCCCCTGTTGCTTGTGATTGTGAGACGAGTCCATCTCCTGCAGCATGACCAGACAGTTTGGGCTTGTGTGCTTTCGCGTGTTGATCCCTGTTTGTGAATGTGAGCCCATGCTGACCAGTGGGGCTGGATCACATCCTACCCGCTGGGGGTGAATGGGGCTAGGTTGCACCTGCAAAGGGGCCCACCTGCATCAGGGCTCATCTCTCTCCTGAGGGACTGGAGGGAGCGGTGAGCACAGCCAGCTGGCTGCTTCTCCTTGGCACAACCCCATGCCTTGAAACAGCCACTGCAGACCAAGTTCCCTGAGCCTGCCCACCCTTCCTCAGCAGCTCAGATGGCTCACAGCTGCCCAGAACAGAGGCACTTTCTGCCTGCAGGTTTGTCCCTGTGTCCTGGAGAGCAAGGCAGGGGACATCTGGTATTCTCCTGGGTGTCCACAGCCACAAACAACGGTGGCACTCCTTTACTGAGGAAAGTGAGAGCGAGCACGAGAGAGCTGTGGCCTGAATCCTGATGGCTTCCTTAGGAGACCATTCATGTCTCTGAAAGTTCCTTTGTGTCTACAAGACTTGTCCAATGTAGAGTGTATTCTGAATACCACCTTCCTGGCCCACATCTGGAGCCCTTCATGGCCTAGTGCTTCTCGAGTGCCTTTTGCAATGGGAGCTGCACACAAGCCAGAGCCAGGGACAGGAAGCAAGCTTGCACAGTGGGCAGACATGAAGCCATAGTGTGGTTCAGAGGCTGAAGCGATCTTGCCACCCATCACTCCTCACTCCTGGTTTGATTCTGCCTCAAGGTCTCCTTCTGGTGCCTCAGGGAGAACAGGGGTTCCACAGGAGCTGAGAGTGATGCCTGGGTGGACATCAGGCTGGTTCCTGCTTTCTGATGTGACTGGGAGACTGTTGTGTGTGCCTCTACTGAGATGAATTTGCTTTGTTCTTCCACAGAACCGAGCTTGCAGAGTCCCGGACCTGCTGCCGAACCACAGTCAGGTATGGAGAAGGAGCTATGCTAGGTCCTGGGAGTCGATGGGAACATGAGCTTGGTACAAGCCCATATGGCTTCTGTCCTCGGTGCTCTGAGTTTCAGCAGGGTGGCAAGGGTGTGGTGACTTAGCATCTGTCTCATGGTCTGTCCCATCTGGAGACACAGCTACGTCATGTGAGACGTGACACCGAGTTGTCCTTAGCATCTTGAGATGGTCCGTGGCTCCATCTGCATGTCCCCACGCTCCTTTGCTAGTGTGCCATGCCAGGGAATTTCCAGTGGGACATGCTTCACAGCCCTCCTGCATGTCCACTTAGGAGATGGTGGGAGTAGGGGGTAAGAGACTGTGTGTGGCTGTGTCCAGATGTCAAGCGGGGCTGTGTTATGCAAATGCACTCAGGTGCCTTCTTGTTTTGCTTTTTCCTTAAACTTGGCCGGCCACACTGAACTTGATTTTTACATGGATGCAGGTATGGACAAAGAGCTCGGGCTCCTCGCACAATGTGATGCCAAGCCCATGTTTGAGGGGCACTTATGTCATCCTTCCTCTGTGACTGAGACACGGAAGGGTGCCTGTCAGCCACCTGTCTGAGAAGTAGCTTTCATGTTCACTATCGTTGTGTGACGTGGCCTGGAAAGGCTCTTTCTCCTGATAAATGGGCTGAGTTCCATCAGTGCTTTGGGGAAGTGCAGCAGCTCTCCCAGGGCGCATGGGTGACAGCCATGGGCCAACTGGAATGCCCTCAGAAAGAAGCTGCAAGGGCCTGTGTGTGCCCTCAGACGTGCTTGGACCCTGGTGCATCCTCTCCTGCTCCACGGTTGTGTGTCGTTGAGGCTGTGTGAGCACTCTGCTAGAAATCCATTTTTGTGGCCCATGGGCCTCTGGATCCTGGCACATTTTCTGGTGCGTGAGTTGACATGCGGGGGCCTCTGTGGTCGGGAGGTACAGGGGAGGCAGGAGTAGGTTTCTGATCCTGGTCCAGAACATGGTAGTGGAGGGGAGGGGGTGTTCCTGGGCGGGAGGGGAGTGAGCCCAATGACAAGCAACAGCCCAGGACCCAGAACACCCTGGCTGGCCAGGGCCTGCAGTTGTCTCATAGCCTCTGCCTTCTGAGCTCCTCAGGAAGTCACCGAGCCACATGGCAGCTGCAGATGGCTTGGTTTCTCTTGCGAGGCTCAGGGTTATGGGGCAGGTTTGTTCCGTGGCCATGTTGGCCTTCTTGGTGCATCCTAGCATTGCTCTTGTGCCCAGGAAGAATGGCATTTTGACGGTCCTGTTCCCAGAAGCATGGGATTGAGGGGCCCACTTTGGTCAGGTTTCAGCTGCTAGGAAGCTTCTTAGGACACAGTCTCCAAGGCCCTGGCAATTCAGTGGATCTCGTGGGGTGTGTCTGAAACCAGCAAGGGTTATGTGTGCTTGTGCCCCGAAATGCCACCCAGGAGCCGATTTGGGGAAGGAGTCTGTGCGGCTCCCACATGACTCCGTGTATGCGTCGGATCCCATCCTGTGTGCCTGGTTTTGAGCTTCTCCCTGTGCTGAGATGAGCTTCCGAGAAGACTCGGAAGCATTGTGGGTGTCTGAGATGGGCAGGGCAAGTCTCCCCTGTTGCTTGTGATTGTGAGACGAGTCCATCTCCTGCAGCATGACCAGACAGTTTGGGCTTGTGTGCTTTCGCGTGTTGATCCCTGTTTGTGAATGTGAGCCCATGCTGACCAGTGGGGCTGGATCACATCCTACCCGCTGGGGGTGAATGGGGCTAGGTTGCACCTGCAAAGGGGCCCACCTGCATCAGGGCTCATCTCTCTCCTGAGGGACTGGAGGGAGCGGTGAGCACAGCCAGCTGGCTGCTTCTCCTTGGCACAACCCCATGCCTTGAAACAGCCACTGCAGACCAAGTTCCCTGAGCCTGCCCACCCTTCCTCAGCAGCTCAGATGGCTCACAGCTGCCCAGAACAGAGGCACTTTCTGCCTGCAGGTTTGTCCCTGTGTCCTGGAGAGCAAGGCAGGGGACATCTGGTATTCTCCTGGGTGTCCACAGCCACAAACAACGGTGGCACTCCTTTACTGAGGAAAGTGAGAGCGAGCACGAGAGAGCTGTGGCCTGAATCCTGATGGCTTCCTTAGGAGACCATTCATGTCTCTGAAAGTTCCTTTGTGTCTACAAGACTTGTCCAATGTAGAGTGTATTCTGAATACCACCTTCCTGGCCCACATCTGGAGCCCTTCATGGCCTAGTGCTTCTCGAGTGCCTTTTGCAATGGGAGCTGCACACAAGCCAGAGCCAGGGACAGGAAGCAAGCTTGCACAGTGGGCAGACATGAAGCCATAGTGTGGTTCAGAGGCTGAAGCGATCTTGCCACCCATCACTCCTCACTCCTGGTTTGATTCTGCCTCAAGGTCTCCTTCTGGTGCCTCAGGGAGAACAGGGGTTCCACAGGAGCTGAGAGTGATGCCTGGGTGGACATCAGGCTGGTTCCTGCTTTCTGATGTGACTGGGAGACTGTTGTGTGTGCCTCTACTGAGATGAATTTGCTTTGTTCTTCCACAGAACCGAGCTTGCAGAGTCCCGGACCTGCTGCCGAACCACAGTCAGGTATGGAGAAGGAGCTATGCTAGGTCCTGGGAGTCGATGGGAACATGAGCTTGGTACAAGCCCATATGGCTTCTGTCCTCGGTGCTCTGAGTTTCAGCAGGGTGGCAAGGGTGTGGTGACTTAGCATCTGTCTCATGGTCTGTCCCATCTGGAGACACAGCTACGTCATGTGAGACGTGACACCGAGTTGTCCTTAGCATCTTGAGATGGTCCGTGGCTCCATCTGCATGTCCCCACGCTCCTTTGCTAGTGTGCCATGCCAGGGAATTTCCAGTGGGACATGCTTCACAGCCCTCCTGCATGTCCACTTAGGAGATGGTGGGAGTAGGGGGTAAGAGACTGTGTGTGGCTGTGTCCAGATGTCAAGCGGGGCTGTGTTATGCAAATGCACTCAGGTGCCTTCTTGTTTTGCTTTTTCCTTAAACTTGGCCGGCCACACTGAACTTGATTTTTACATGGATGCAGGTATGGACAAAGAGCTCGGGCTCCTCGCACAATGTGATGCCAAGCCCATGTTTGAGGGGCACTTATGTCATCCTTCCTCTGTGACTGAGACACGGAAGGGTGCCTGTCAGCCACCTGTCTGAGAAGTAGCTTTCATGTTCACTATCGTTGTGTGACGTGGCCTGGAAAGGCTCTTTCTCCTGATAAATGGGCTGAGTTCCATCAGTGCTTTGGGGAAGTGCAGCAGCTCTCCCAGGGCGCATGGGTGACAGCCATGGGCCAACTGGAATGCCCTCAGAAAGAAGCTGCAAGGGCCTGTGTGTGCCCTCAGACGTGCTTGGACCCTGGTGCATCCTCTCCTGCTCCACGGTTGTGTGTCGTTGAGGCTGTGTGAGCACTCTGCTAGAAATCCATTTTTGTGGCCCATGGGCCTCTGGATCCTGGCACATTTTCTGGTGCGTGAGTTGACATGCGGGGGCCTCTGTGGTCGGGAGGTACAGGGGAGGCAGGAGTAGGTTTCTGATCCTGGTCCAGAACATGGTAGTGGAGGGGAGGGGGTGTTCCTGGGCGGGAGGGGAGTGAGCCCAATGACAAGCAACAGCCCAGGACCCAGAACACCCTGGCTGGCCAGGGCCTGCAGTTGTCTCATAGCCTCTGCCTTCTGAGCTCCTCAGGAAGTCACCGAGCCACATGGCAGCTGCAGATGGCTTGGTTTCTCTTGCGAGGCTCAGGGTTATGGGGCAGGTTTGTTCCGTGGCCATGTTGGCCTTCTTGGTGCATCCTAGCATTGCTCTTGTGCCCAGGAAGAATGGCATTTTGACGGTCCTGTTCCCAGAAGCATGGGATTGAGGGGCCCACTTTGGTCAGGTTTCAGCTGCTAGGAAGCTTCTTAGGACACAGTCTCCAAGGCCCTGGCAATTCAGTGGATCTCGTGGGGTGTGTCTGAAACCAGCAAGGGTTATGTGTGCTTGTGCCCCGAAATGCCACCCAGGAGCCGATTTGGGGAAGGAGTCTGTGCGGCTCCCACATGACTCCGTGTATGCGTCGGATCCCATCCTGTGTGCCTGGTTTTGAGCTTCTCCCTGTGCTGAGATGAGCTTCCGAGAAGACTCGGAAGCATTGTGGGTGTCTGAGATGGGCAGGGCAAGTCTCCCCTGTTGCTTGTGATTGTGAGACGAGTCCATCTCCTGCAGCATGACCAGACAGTTTGGGCTTGTGTGCTTTCGCGTGTTGATCCCTGTTTGTGAATGTGAGCCCATGCTGACCAGTGGGGCTGGATCACATCCTACCCGCTGGGGGTGAATGGGGCTAGGTTGCACCTGCAAAGGGGCCCACCTGCATCAGGGCTCATCTCTCTCCTGAGGGACTGGAGGGAGCGGTGAGCACAGCCAGCTGGCTGCTTCTCCTTGGCACAACCCCATGCCTTGAAACAGCCACTGCAGACCAAGTTCCCTGAGCCTGCCCACCCTTCCTCAGCAGCTCAGATGGCTCACAGCTGCCCAGAACAGAGGCACTTTCTGCCTGCAGGTTTGTCCCTGTGTCCTGGAGAGCAAGGCAGGGGACATCTGGTATTCTCCTGGGTGTCCACAGCCACAAACAACGGTGGCACTCCTTTACTGAGGAAAGTGAGAGCGAGCACGAGAGAGCTGTGGCCTGAATCCTGATGGCTTCCTTAGGAGACCATTCATGTCTCTGAAAGTTCCTTTGTGTCTACAAGACTTGTCCAATGTAGAGTGTATTCTGAATACCACCTTCCTGGCCCACATCTGGAGCCCTTCATGGCCTAGTGCTTCTCGAGTGCCTTTTGCAATGGGAGCTGCACACAAGCCAGAGCCAGGGACAGGAAGCAAGCTTGCACAGTGGGCAGACATGAAGCCATAGTGTGGTTCAGAGGCTGAAGCGATCTTGCCACCCATCACTCCTCACTCCTGGTTTGATTCTGCCTCAAGGTCTCCTTCTGGTGCCTCAGGGAGAACAGGGGTTCCACAGGAGCTGAGAGTGATGCCTGGGTGGACATCAGGCTGGTTCCTGCTTTCTGATGTGACTGGGAGACTGTTGTGTGTGCCTCTACTGAGATGAATTTGCTTTGTTCTTCCACAGAACCGAGCTTGCAGAGTCCCGGACCTGCTGCCGAACCACAGTCAGGTATGGAGAAGGAGCTATGCTAGGTCCTGGGAGTCGATGGGAACATGAGCTTGGTACAAGCCCATATGGCTTCTGTCCTCGGTGCTCTGAGTTTCAGCAGGGTGGCAAGGGTGTGGTGACTTAGCATCTGTCTCATGGTCTGTCCCATCTGGAGACACAGCTACGTCATGTGAGACGTGACACCGAGTTGTCCTTAGCATCTTGAGATGGTCCGTGGCTCCATCTGCATGTCCCCACGCTCCTTTGCTAGTGTGCCATGCCAGGGAATTTCCAGTGGGACATGCTTCACAGCCCTCCTGCATGTCCACTTAGGAGATGGTGGGAGTAGGGGGTAAGAGACTGTGTGTGGCTGTGTCCAGATGTCAAGCGGGGCTGTGTTATGCAAATGCACTCAGGTGCCTTCTTGTTTTGCTTTTTCCTTAAACTTGGCCGGCCACACTGAACTTGATTTTTACATGGATGCAGGTATGGACAAAGAGCTCGGGCTCCTCGCACAATGTGATGCCAAGCCCATGTTTGAGGGGCACTTATGTCATCCTTCCTCTGTGACTGAGACACGGAAGGGTGCCTGTCAGCCACCTGTCTGAGAAGTAGCTTTCATGTTCACTATCGTTGTGTGACGTGGCCTGGAAAGGCTCTTTCTCCTGATAAATGGGCTGAGTTCCATCAGTGCTT